ATGTTTTCTCAAACTGGAAATAAGTTCTAGCATTCTTCGTTTGTTGACCTCTAATTTTATCCAGGGCCAATCCAATTTAAATAGCGGGTGAATTATTGCGGATAGACTAAAATTCAAATATATGAACAAAAATATAAATTATAAGCAATATTTGAACTGTATACCTTTTATCTATGCCTTCCAGAACTGAATTAATAAGCGGCTTACAAAACTTGAATTTATTTAAAGCCATTTTTTTAAGTTTTAATATTATAATAGTTATGGTTGGAGTGAGATTCCCAAATGCATTAATTCTTCGCTCTAAAATTAAAAGAGCCGTAGCAATGGGTTCCATAACCTATAAAATCATATTTCTTAATTAACGCTAACCATACAATTTTCATCCATGAACGACTTGTCGTAATCTGGAAATCTCTGTATCAGATTTATCACAAGATTGGTCAAATTTTTGGCAATTCTCCTTAATAAGACTATCTATTAATTTCACGGAGTTATAAAGAGAGTTCCAATTTGTTATAACCGGTTTAATCAGATATCTTCCAAAGTTTTCCTTAAAAATGGCTGCACAATTTGAAGATTGCCCATGTTTATTCTAAAATAGCTTACACTTATAAAATGTAATTTTTGAGATTTAAAAATAATCTTGTTACCTGCCTTTTTAATGTCAACACTTGATATGAGATTTAAAGTGTGTGCTGAACAGGTATGATGCTTAGGTAAGTATACAATACTATCATTGGTATTTTGATTTTCAAATAGATCAAATAATGGCAGATAAACTATTTCATAATATTCTTCTCCTTGTTCATACACTCTAATAAATTTTTAATAAATATATTATAATTTTTTTACTTGAAAGCTTTTATGTAATTTCTAGCGGTCACTTGATTTTGTATCTTATATGTGGTAAAAATTTCAAAGATTTTTCTTGCTAGATAATTAAATGTGCGTTTTTGGTTTAGCCTTTTACAAGCTAAGCAGGCTGAAACCCTCTCAACAATGTTTGGGTGTAACTAGTGTACCGTCATCCCTAAATAAGAACTTTTTTAAAAGACAATATTATCAATCTATAGAATATATATTTTATATACCGATGATAAGCTGACCAAGAATTCAGTTGTACAGACAATTTTTAGGATACACAATCTTTGCCATGGTATCAAATGCTATGTTAATTTTTAATATGATGGTAGGCCTAGATATCACATTTTTAGTAGACTGCAATTTTTTGATAATATTAATAAATGCAATGCTTTCTACTATTAAAAATGGTTGTAATCAATCAATTACAAAATTAAAAACTAATTCATCAATTACAAAATTAAAAACTAATTCATCAACAACTGATTGTGCTATTTGTATTTTTCTCAATGAGTGTTAGTTGTTTGGCTTTCATTCTTTTTCTTTTTATTAATATTCAAATGTTCATTAATCACTTTCATTTTTGATGAATGTGCACTCTACAATATTTTAATTAAAATATTATTTACTGAATTTTTTATTAAAAATAACTTAGCTTTTTCAATAATTGAAGATAAATCTTTTAAAAATCTAATTGCATTTTTAATCCCTTACTAAGCTTATTGTCAATGAAAATATCAAAAGTTGAAATTATGATTGCCAAAGATAATTTTTCAATTTCTTATCTTTTTCAAAATTATCATTTAAAAAGGAATCAGGGAAAATATCTAGGTTCAGTTCTCTAAAACAATATTGCTTCATAGTTTTATTCCACATATGTATTAAACAAAGTTTTTTAAAATCACTATTTTATTCTTTAAATTTATTAATAAATTTGGTCTGGGGGGGGGGGGGGGGGTAATAAAATTTTCTAAAAATATTATTGTTTTTTAAAAATATCAAGAACAAATTTATTAGGACTAATAACTATTTCTAATACACAATTTTAAATTAATGTGAATTATAAAAAAATTATATGTAAAGAATCACTTAAATGACCCAAAATAGAAATTTGAATTTTTTGAGTCTTTACACAAAATGTTTCTTAGGAATAATTGCATTTTGTATGTTATATTTTTACAATGTAAAATCCAATCTTCGTTGTGATTGAGCTAATTTTTCAATTATCTCATCCTTGATTGTCGTCAAATGCCTGTGAATATTCAAAAGATCCAAACCTTTCAATCTACTTTCAGATGTTGTACGTCTTGGTATGTTTTTCAGAGACCTGCAGGTCCGGTCCTAATTTTTTAAATATACCCGGGCCGGGCTCGAAATTTTTTTTAAAAAACACCCAAGCTGGGCCTGAATTATTTTATAAAAACACCCAATCCGGGCTGTATTTTTTAAAACAGCCTATAGTTGAAATCGTTATTATTAGCTATAAAAATCAAAAATAAATATAATTTATTTTAAAAAAATCCGGGCCGGGCCTGAAAATTTTATTTAAAAAAAAGCCGGGTCTGAAAATTAAAAAAAAAAGCCGAGTCGGGCCTAAAAAATTTTTTAAAAAAACCCAGGCCTGGCCGTAAAAAATCTTTAAAAAAAATCCGGTGCAAATGGTACTTCTGCAGGCCTCTGTTATTCTTCTTAAAAAAGAGAATGCTCTCTCATTAGTTTACTAATGAGAAGAGTTTATAAACCCTTTTAATACATTGGGAATTTAATCTAAAATGTGTTTGAAATATTTTTTGGGACTATATCAACTATAGTTAATCTTATAAACATAGTTATTCAGCTAGTAAGGCATCATAAGATACTTTAACATCTTCATAATAAAAATCTAACAAATTTTTTTTTCCTATCACCATCTTAAAAAGGTTGGGAAGACTTTTGTGGAGTAATATTTGCAGATTAGTAAGTGCTGCATGATGAATTAAAAATTCATTTATTTGGGTTATAAATGTATCTGTATTTAAGATATACTCTTCTACTGATCCTATATTAATGTTTTAACGATTAGCTTGCCTTGCTACAAGTCGAGAGAGACAAATATTAAACACGTATAGCTCTGCTTTTGACTCAACAATAAAATATGAAATTCTTCATCAACATTAGCCCTAATTTCCTTGAGTTCTGATAAAATGCTCTCCGCTATTCTCATCTTCTTAATCAAATCAATGTCATGTTTTTGAAAAGTAAAACTTAAAATAGTTGTATAATTAAATAATACATTATAATAAGAAATAAAATTTGGAATAAGCATTGAATCCAATAATTTTCTTGCTTCTGAGGAAATATTTCTTTCAGGCCTTTGTGATATTTCAGTAATAGCAAATAATTGGCTCTTCTAACTCCTTAAAATTTTACTGCTTGATGGCAGAGACTATATCTCGTTGGACAAGGTTGCAATTTTTTTTTCCCTGTTAGACAAGAAGTTTCAGAAATAATTATTATTTGACTAGAAATTTGAAAATGGTAGATAAATATTACGCCACTAAAAATTTGAAAATAATAAGTAAATATTAAGCCGTAAAACTTGAAATCGAAATTAATTGATAAAATAACTTAGTAGATATGTGATAATAAATGTAATTAAATATATATTTAATATGAGATACGAATAAATATTAAAAAATATAAATTAATATAAACAATAATATTTTTGAAAAATATATCTGGCATCTGCATTTTTTGGCTTTCCCCCCGCTGCGTACGCCAATGATGTGAAGTTAAACCAATAGCAATATTAAAACAAGAAATAGAAGATACTGTTTAAACCTAATATAATATTTTGAACCAATACCAATATTTTGTTAATCTTGGGTTTTTAATGTTAATTCCCAGTCCTATATTATAGTATAATTTAATTGTTTATATTTTATTTTCATGATTAAGATTTATTATGAAAGAATACTTCTTCTAATGTTATTCTATAATACCTATGATTTAATATTCTATTATTAAAGTAATATTTTTAAAAGAATTATATATTAATTCATCTTTTTACCTTCATATGCTTTTTAAAGTTTGAACTGCTGGACATTGAGGTTAAAATATTTGTGTTGGGACATATTTTACATTTACAAATTGTAGACTTGCACCCCTAATTTTCTTTATTGGTGTAAAATATGTAGTGAATTGGGGCCAGGGAAAGGTTAAATCATCTTCATCTGTAAAAGTAAATATTATGGACATAATATTCTTAAAATAAATTATAAAATAGAAAAATAATATTATTATTAACATTTACATTGAATTTTGATTGAATATTAATTAGATTAACATTCGACTGAAAATTTAACAACGAGAATAATAAAAATGAAGGAATAATGGTTGATATGAATTAAAAACTCGGCTTAAATTATTTATATTAAAAAAAGAAATTAAAGTAATTTTTTATATTTTTTAAGAAAAAATTTAAAGTAACGAGTAACGTTTTGCGTTACCGTTACCTCTAGAAGAAATTAACGAATGTCGTTCTTTTTCTTCAAAAAAAGTAACGAAATTACTTTTTTGACGTTACTTTACAGCACTAGAAAATATTGATATTTTTATGACAATGGTTCAAAGATAGATGGTAAATAAAAATTAATAAATACTGGTATCGGATCAGGTTTTTAGTAATATCTGAAAATATTGAATTGGTGAAAATTTTGTGGATCGACATAGCCCTAATAAAATATTTACATCTTTTCCCTTATTTTCATTTTTTCTACTAATAACATATGTTGAGATTTTGAAATCACTTTTTAAAACCTTATTGGAGAAAATTATATTTAAGTTGATCAATGTTTAACTAGAAATAAGTCAAATTACCTGGAAAAATATGATGCCTTTCATACTTTGTCCCTTTCTTCTTTCCTGTTTTCCCACTTGATAATCTACACAATTTTCTTCATCCTTCGAGGACATTCAACATTTTAAAAACTATAATAAAATCGGAGGCCAAGAATTTTGGATTTAATTAGGCTCAGAAAATTATTTTTGATTTTATAATTTACTATTTAAGGGTTTAAATATATTTATTATTTAATCATATAAATAAAAAGATAGTATTTTATTCATCCAAGAATAGAACAAATTAAAAAAACAGCGTTTTCACAGAGCAGATTCGGTCTATTACTCTATTTATTACAAGATCGTCTTTTCCCACTATGATTATTATGAAAAATAAAAAATTTCCGAATTGTAATAAATTATCCTAATATAAATTTGAATTAAATATTTTATTAAAGATGAATTGTTTGTGGAATTATTCTGGTGGCGGTGGAAAGATCAAAACGCTAAATTTTTTGAAGAGGTAAGCTAAAATCAGTAAAACTATTGGGAGTACGATCGTCATAACTATAAATTAATTAAAGTGTAAAAATTATTTTGATAATATTTATATTTATACATTATTTTAGAAATATGTTCTTTACTTATTTAGAATATTTCATTAATAAAAATGATATTTTTTTGAGATACTTCGGTAGTAACTTATTAGACAATCATTTTATTGATGAACTCCATCGTAAGAACATATTTTCTAAAATATTATATACATATAAAATATAAAATTATTTAAAAAAGTTATTATATAATAAAGCAATATCATCATACATAACATAACTATTTTGCGAATTCATTTTATTTAAACATAGTTAGGTTTAATTCTTTTTTAAACGATTTAAAATAGAGATCTGAGCAGAGGCATTACCTATTTACAGGCGCCTAGTCGGTCCGGATGAATGGTTTCGGTTTTAAAAATAAACCCGTATACCTGGACGGATCTGGTTAGCCCTACCTTAAAATAAAAGATGTTATCGATATTATTTTTTTTTACTAGTGTTATAGTTGATTGATCGTGGTAAAATATTATTTGTGTATTGAGTAATTTTTTCTAGGTTTGTGTTCGAATTATTTTCGTACAAGGACATGGTTGACGCTAGCGGAGTTAAGCTTATTTCCGAAGGATCTATAATTAATTAAGGGTAAATATTTAGGTTCTAACAAAAATGCGAGTAATTTATATAATATTGTTTAAAATGTTGCACGATTTAATTTTTAGAGGGTTAATGTATTGTTTGATTTTTTTTGATTGCTTTAGCTAGAACCCTTAGAATCGTGTAAATTTAAACCCAAACCCCATTTTTTCCAAAATTTTAGGAACCGAAACCATTTTTTTAAAAAAATATTCAGAATCGACATCAGAACATTTTCTTAGTCCAGACTCCAGAGTTTCAAACGATGATTCATAAAATTCTTTTTCGAAAAGTCGAGAATCGGCCGATATTTTTTTAAATTAGTAGATCCGATATACCAATAGAGTGGATGGATAATATTATAACTTGCTCATTAAAATATCGCAAGGTCTATAAGTCGAAAGACTGCATGATACAAAAGGCTAAAAAATAATATTGAAAATAAAAAAAACAGAGAAATGAGAAATTTGATTGATTTATTGCTTCTTTACGAGATTACATTATAATATATTAAAAAATGGAAATTTTTTTATTTAGTCAATGATATAATTTGCGGTTTTAATTTAATTTTATTATATTAATATTTAAATTAAATTTTTAATAAAATTATATTTGGTCATTATATGAATATAATTTTTAAAAAATGGAATTTTTAAAATTATATTTTTATTCTATTTACGTTTTTTGCAAAACTAAATTGATTGTAAGTATAAATATCAGAGACCTGCAGAGGTACCATTTGTACGGCCCGGCCCAGATTAAAAAATTTTTGGCCCGGCCCGAATATTTAAAAAAAAAAATTTGGGGGCCCGGCCCAGCATAGATTTTTTTTAAAAATTTTTTTTAGGCCCGGCTAGGAATTTTTAAAAATTATATTCGACCTGTTATACAAAAAATTCATTATTTCGTATTTTATCATATTTTTCGGCGAGTATTATCCTTTAATAAGAAAGTATATTAGCTAATGTTGTTAAACGGCTCGTTTTGAGACGATTTTTAAAAACGGCTAACTCAATATATTCGTAATAAAAATATTGACTAAGCCTCTCGATACTATATGTCTAGACCTTTGCTCCTTCTATGAGCAAAATTTTCAGGCTTGCATAATATTTTTCTGGATAAAAAACTGAGTTAGCCGTTTTTAAAAATCGGCTCAAAACGATCCCTAAATATTTTATTCTAAACAGATATTTAGTATATTACAAATTGATACTATAAAAAATTTGTGTAAATAAAATTTTGAGAATATACTATATATTTATAAAAAAAATAAAAATGATATTTTCAATAAAAAATATAACATATATTATATAATAATGTATTTAATCCTTTGCGTATTTATTCCATGACAGGAAAACTATAATTTTATCATGTAATATATACTATGAGTGTTAGCTAGTGTTAACTTTCACCAAACATTATATTAATCATAACTATATATAATCATTATAACCATATCTAATTGACGAATATAATAATTCATGTTGTATAAATTTTTTTAAAAAATACGGTCCGGCCCGGGTATTTTTAAAAAAAAAATTCAGACCTGGCCCGGGTTTTTTAAAAAAAATTTTTCAGGCCCAGCCCGGCCCAGGTATAATTTAAAAATTAAAAATACGGCCCGGCCCTGGTACCCGGGCCGGGTCTGCAGGTCTCTGATAAATATATTGTAAGTACTGGATTAAGAAGTAAATGACAAATATAAATTTAATGATATATTTTTTACATTTTCGGTTCGAAAAATTTTTTTTTTGTCGCGAAGACATTCAGAGGGAAAAGGCTTTCCTATCTAAAAATGCTAGATGTATTTTTTTACGTATCTGGTTCGAAAATTTTATTTTGTTATGAAAACACTCAGAGGAAAAAGGCTAACATCTTATTTTCAAATCGTAAACGTAAAAAAAATACATCTAAGCATTTTTAGATAGGAAACTTAATTCTGAGTAGATATAAAAATATTTTAAATTAAGTTTAAAATGTTACCTTTATCCCTCTGAATGTTTTCGCGACAAAAAAATATTTTTCGAACCGAAAACGTAAAAAAAAATCTATCATTAAATTTATATTTGTCAACTACTTCTTCCAGTAATTACAATATATTTATATTTACAAGCAATTTAGTTTTGCAAAAAACTTAAATAGAATAAAAAATATAATTACAAAAATTCATTTTTAAAAAATTATATTCATATAAAATCATGACCAAACATAATTTTATTAAAAATTTAATTTAAAAATTAAATTAAAACCGCAAATTATATCAAAGATTAAATAAAAAAATTGAAAAGATCTTAAAATTTCCATTTTTTTTATATATTATTATAAAATAATGTTATTATCTCCCAAAATCCTACCTTCAGCCTCATCGTAGGGGGGGGGGGATGGCAATTGGAGGTCTAAAAGGTTCCCTGTGATCTGGGTCTAGAATAGGATCACCGTCTCCTCGACGGGGTGTTAAAACCACTTAAAGAGGTTGATGTCAGGAAGGGCATCCGATTGTAAAAACCTTGCTACAAAATTTCTCTATGGTTACAATAAAGCATGGGCGGGGTACAGCCCAAAGTACCCCGTGGGCCTCCTCATCCGCCTACGGCAAAAAGAAGGATGGGAAACCTGGTGAAACTACGATTCATGAAAATGAAACTTACGATGGCCATAAAAAACCTGATAATAAGTGGAGAAACCAGTCAATGGGGGATCGAGTTAGGGTTGCGACATGAAATGTTGGAAGTATGACGGGAAGAGCAGGAGAAGTCGTAGATGTATTGCACAGAAGGCATATAGATGTGTGCTGTATACAGGAGACTAGATGGAAAGGAAATGGGACCAGAATGATTTGCAAGACTAGCGAAAAATATAAATTCTTTTGGCAAGGAAGTAATGATGGTAAGGCTGGAGTTGGGGTATTGGTTGCGGAGAAATTGGTAGACAAAGTAGTCGAAGTGAGAAGGCTAGATAACCAGATAATGGTTATCAAGATGATTTTTGGTAGAAAGCTATATAATATTATCTCGGCATATGTTCCTCAGGTTGGAAGAAGTGAAGAAGAGAAAGATATATTTTGGGACAGTCTATTGGGTGTGACATCGAGCTGGCAAATGGAGAGGGGATTATCCTGGCTGGTGATCTGAATGGACATGTGGGAGCGAGTAGTGACTAGTGAGGGTAATGAAGGAGTACATGGATGTTCAGTTACGGCATGAGAAATTTGGCAGGAGAGAAGATTTTAGATTTTAGTGATGCTAAGGATATGATTGTCTGTAATACAATGTTTAAGAAAGAATCCGAGAAGCTGGTATAAGTCGGGTAGTAACAAAAGTGCAATGGATTACTTGTTGTTAAGGAGATGTGATCGATGTATAGTAAAAAATGTGAAAGTGATACCGGGAGAGGAATGTATAAATCAGCATCGACTACTTGTAGGAAATCTCACTTTTAAAGGTGCCAGGGTCACTAAAAGAAAGTTTGTCCCAAGGCTGAAGGTTTAGAAATTGAAGGAGGAGAGTGCTAGACGTCAATTCAATACGGCATTGGCGATTAGGGAGATGGAGGTGGCACAAGCATCTGGGGTGAATGACAAGTGAGAAGCCATGAAGAAAGCCTGGGTAATGACAACTAAGGAGGTATGTGGATGGACAAAAGGGCCTCCTAGACATAAAGAGACTTTGTGGTGGAACCCGGAGGTAGCGAAAGCAGTGGATGAGAAACGGAGGTGTTTTAAAGTATGGTATAATAGCAAAGAAAATAGTGATAATGATATTTACAAGATGGCTAAAAGAAATGCTAAGAAATTAATAGCGAGGCTCAAGAAGAAAAAAGACACGAGTTTGCTAAAGAAATGGAATGCGCTGATGGAATTGGAAATATGGTTCGAATGGCAAAACAGATGTCAAAAAAGAGGCAGGATGTGATAGGTGTAAAGTGTTTGAAAAATATGGAAGGAAAAATGACGATTGATAGTAGTGGTATTAAGAACACCTGGAAGATTTACATAAAAGGAATTTTGAATGAAGAAAATGAATGGAATAATAATATTAGTTGTGCAAAGGTAGAAGGTCCAGGGTGTAAATTTGGCAAGGACGAGATAAAGAGAGCAGTGAAAAAGATGAAGAAAGGGAAGGCATCGGGTTTAATGATGGTGGAATCAGAGATGTTTAAAGGTTCTGATGATTGAGGGATTGAATGGTTAATGAATTTAGCCAATCAAATTGTCACAGAAGGAACTATTCCCGAGGACTGGCGAAGAAGTATAATTATTCCAGTATACAAGGGGAAAAGTGACCCTTTATATTTCGGGACAGAGCTATTAAACTCTTGGAACATGCAATGAAAGTATTTGAAATAGTGTTAGAAAAGCGTATAAGGGAACAAATTTAAATTGATGAAATACAGTTTGGTTTTACATCGGGAAAAGGCACGACAGATGCAATTTTTGCGGTGAGACAAATGCAGGAGAAGTATCTTGCGAAGGAAAAGAAACTCTATTATGCGTTTATTGATTTGGAGAAAGCATTTGATAGGGTGCCGCGTGAGGTTACTAGATAGGCCTTGAGAAAATCAGGTGTGGAGGAATGGTTGGTTATCGCAGTGATGGCAATGTATGTTGGAGCACAAACAGCAGTACGGACGGATTATGGCGATAGTGACAGCTTTGAGGTGAAGGTAGGACTTCATCAAGGATCCGTGCTGAGTCCATTATTATTTATCTTAGTAATGGATGTGGTGGCTAAAGAAATGCGTGAAGGACTTCCCTGGGAGCTATTATATGCAGATGACCTTGTATTAATGGCAAACAGTGAGGAAGAATTGAGGGAAAAAATTAGTAAATGGAAGATGACTATGGAAGCAAAGGGCCTGAAAATGAATGCATCAAAGACAAAGGTGATGATTGGTGGGGAAAATATAAATATGGAGGAATCCGTAAGTGGCCTTGTGGTGTATGTGGGAAAGGAGTTGCTAGAAATTCTATCCAATGCACCAGATGCCAGAAATG